TAATTCATTAGTGCAGCATTACTGGATCACCTCTGTTTGAAGTGATATAATATGATATACAACTATCACTGCGTTGAACTACCATAATAATTCTTAGGGTACTGAGTGCATGCTTAATTAGATTTTTTTTTTAAACATACTGCTCCATTGCTATGTTTGACAGGCAATTCAAATTCAAATTTAACTTATTCAAATTCAGTTTCTGATGGCACAGATTTCACTGACCTTTGACCCAGCCCATGGTGTTGATAATAACGGGAGCCTCAGTGTTGTGGGATCATCTGCACAATATGAACTTCAGGTATCGATCTAAGTCTGAGTTGCATGATGAGTCAGCGTAGTAAATCATGTGCTCTGGAGTGTGCTGATGTGTGAAAGGAGGACGTGGAAAACAGCTTATTATAAGTCTTTTAATCCACTCTTACTAATTAAGCAAGAGTCAGAAATGAAGAAAACACCATAGAGCCTTGTTATGGCAGAGGTTTCTTCCTGTTAAAAGTGAGTTTTTCCTTCCCAGAGTGCTTGCTCATATGATTGTTGGATCTACTTTACAATATAAAACACCTTAAGGTGACTGTTGTTGTGATTTGGTGCTGTATAAGTAAAATTGAATTGAACTATGGAGGCATAATTCTACAAAACCCACCATGAAATAACATTATATGGTGTTTATTCACTCATTTGTTTATTCACCCAATAAACAGAGGTTAAGGCATTTTCTTTTTTAGTTGCTTGTCTGTTGTGGCTTTGGTGACTTAAATGCAGGGTGGTGGGAGATGTGCGTCCATGATGATGATGATGGTTCTCCATTCTTTGTTTCTGTCTTACAGACAGTGATTCATAAGCATTTATGATTAGCGTCAATACTCCCAGTATTACTGCTTTGATAAGTGTTCATGACACAGATGTTACCACTAACCTTTCAAATGTTCTGAAAAATGCACATTGATTGTGAAATAATTGAAGTCCTTCTTTGCGCACCTGACAGATTTGTACGTGAGCTAATGCAAAGCCTTGATCCCCTCACCTCATTTGCTGAATCTTCGATCAGGAGCCTTCAGCTGCTGAGGGATGCTGGCATCAGGAAGAGAGAACCACGCAGCAGTGTAATATACAGGAACAGCTGATTGGACCACACCAAGTGCAGCTCTGTCACAGGTGGTAGAATTAAGTATTTTTTCTTAAATTTTCTTTGACTTATGAGTTGCCTGCAGTAGCGGTTTTAGATACGGGCGACACGGGCAGTTGCC